GGCAATCAATGTACATTTGTGTCCTTACTCCAGCATTGTAGGTCAGAGACTCTGGGTATTCCTACTGCGCCAACTCGAGTGACCCAGGATAAGGCAAGATGTGCTTCAAAGCCACTCCAGGCCTCTGGTTGGTTCTCTGTGGAGCTAGTCCGCAATCGCACAGGCTTTGGCCTCACTTTAAGTGGGGGCCGAGATGTAGCGGGTGATGCTCCACTGGCTGTGCGTGGGTTGCTGAAGGATGGGCCAGCACAGCGTTGTGGTCATTTGCAGGTTAGCCCTAAGCACCCTCCTTTCATAGGTGTGATCCCCACCTTTGTCCAGAAGCTCTCTATATTTCCTTCCTATACCACCACTGCCTTGCATTCTTGCAGGCTGGTGATCTCATTCTCCATATCAACGGAGAGTCAACGCAGGGACTTACCCATGCCCAGGCGGTGGATCGGATCCGCACTGGAGGTTCCCGGCTTCAGCTTGTGTTGCAGAGGCCTAATGAGACTCAAACTGGCAAGCACAAGGGGATGGGTGGGTCCCGAAAGGGAAGCAGTGGGTTTTCCAGGGAAGGAAATTAGAGGTCTGTGAGGGGAAGGAGAGGTTAGAAGGGGTTTAGTGGTCTCAGTGGGGAGGATCAGGGTTCGGTGTCTAAGTGGGGTTAGTATATTTTTGAAAGTGGGGGTGGGAGGGGAGCCCTTCCCAGGAAAGGAATTTCAGAGGGGAAACTTTTTATAGGGGAAAGGAGAGGAGGGAAGAGATCTGGGGTAAAAGCAGATCTTCAGCTGGGTGTGGTGGCACATACCTACAATCCCAGCATCTTGGGAGGCTGAGTCAGGAGGATGAAAATTTGAGGCCAGTCTTAGCAACTTAGTGGGGATGTGGCTCGGTGGTTAATCGCTCCTGGGTTCAGTTGCTGGTACTACTACTCCTACTACTACTAACAATAATAACAGCCAGTGTTCAGCAGGGTCTTAGTCCTTGGAGGGATAGGCAGAATGGAGTCTCAGCTGGGAGGATATGGGATGGAGATCTAGAGAGTAGAAGGTTTAGTTCTGAGAGACAAAGGGTTGATAAGGGAAAAGTTGGGAGTTAAGGTGGGATGAGAGAGGGAATAGTCAAAGGTCTTAGACTGGAGAGATTATTAGTGCCAAGGCCAAGGTCATGGTTTGATTTCCTTTAGGGATTATGGGAAATGATTTCTGTGTGGGTGTCCTGGATTAAGGCAGGGAAGAGTCTAGAGAAAGGAGGTGTTGAGGCTTGTGTGTGGGGGTACTAGTCACTGAACACCTCCAGGAAGGTGGAGGAAGATTTCTCTAAGGGAGGGGGGGTGTCTCTGTTTCCTGCCACCCTTGGGCTTTCTGGGCCATCCTAAGCCCTGGACCCCAATTTCCGTTTTCCACTCCATCAATCTAAACTGTAGCCCTGTCATTCCCAGACTGCCGTCCAGATCTTGTAGGTCCGGCGATGATGAAGTCTCACAGTGCCAGCCTTTCCCCAGTTCACCACCCTCAATTCAATAGGACGCCAAAGACCCGGGGCAGCCCTGAGCCTAGTCCAGAGGCAGCGGTCGACGCTCCCGAAGTTCCTCCAGCAGAACGCCACATGGAGGACCCTGATGACCGTATCCCTGGTTCCCCAGGACCCTGGCTGGTGCCGAGTGAGGAGCGGCTCTCGCGGGCCCTAGGTCTCCCAAGGGCTGCGCAGCTCGCTCAGGAGACAGCAGCTGGAAGGAGAAGGCACTGAGCAGACGACACAGGGCTCGGTGCTCACTTGGTAGGGTCCAGTCTGGATCCGATGGGCCCCGACCGCAGTGCACTAGCGTCGGGCTGAGAGCTCCGACTTGTCTGGTCTTCCCTCCCACCACGTAGTTGACTGGCCCGCGCTCCCCTCCAGGCATCTGCAGTCCAGCTTTCCCAGACCCCCTCAAACCCACGCTTCTGGTTCTGGGCGGGGATGTAATAAAATGGGTTGATCTAGTCTTGACTTGCCAGGTGTTCCAGGAGGGGTGGGGCTTCCAGGTCACCCTGGAAAGGAGGGGGTGGGTCCATCCGGTTTCGAGGAGGACCTCTAGTAACCAGCGATGAGCTGCGCGCAGTTGCTTTCAAGTCTTCGCTTCTGCCCATCGTCGCTGGGCTCGCGGGCTTGCTTCCCCTTTCGTTTTCCTTGTGTTAACTCCCGCTCCTCCCCATTCATTCATTTCACTCGTTTGAGATGTGAAACGCTCCACATATATGATTGTGGCATGGGGAATACAGACGTGGACCTATTGTGGTAGTGTCCTCAACATATACCTGCTGTCGCAGCTCAGAATCAGTCAGACTCTCAGCTTACATAAAGATAGCAAGTCGAGAAGCAGGGCGGCTTTCCTCCCCAGGAGTCTGCGGTCTCCCATTTCCGTCCTAGAAGCCAGCTTTTTCTGGCACGGAGACTGCCATCCTCAGGGTACAGGCTGGGGCCCTGGAGCCCCCTTTGGGACAGGAGCCGGGAAGGTGTGAGTCAGCGCCCGGGGCTGGGCCTGGCTAAAAAGGGCAGTTAGAACCTTTGGGCCACGCCCCCCTTTTCCATAGATGGTGACGAACTGCAGCAGGCCTTGTGCTTAACACGCCATATGCTGGGCGTTCCGGGTCCCTAGAGAAACACAGAATTTCCTCCACCCTTCCAGCGGAGCCGCACAGCTGGGGCTTATAAGACCAGCGGGATTCTAACCAGGGTAGCCCCAAGGCAACTGCAGTCTGAGACCAGAAATATTAGGACACCTTTGCGGTCACCACATCCTGAACACTGGGCCCCAACCCCCCAAGGAGGGAAGCTGTGGTCTGACTGGAACTGGCAACTTTCAGTCCCTATGGTGAAGAGGTGTGGAAGTGGAGAGAGAAATTAAAGGGTCAGAGTGTGAGAGTCTGGAGTTGTGCTGGAGTGGAGACAGGGATTGCAAAACTGAGTTGGATTATGAAGAACATTTTAATGGTTAGCACTGTACACATAGCAGTGTCTGTCTTCCAGCTACCCTTGACTCAGAGCCTGGAGGAGGCATGACTCCACAGTTGTCAGGAAGGGGTTCTAGAGCCCCATTCCTATAAACACAGTCACACCCAGGGGACTAATAATAATAATCCCAGTCACATTTATCTCATATCACTTCATCTCTGTTAGTGGTTTTAGTGCAGTATTTATTTTCATCTAGTTACACACCTACTCAAGTAGCCTGTAGGTCCATTTCACAGCGGGGGGGGGGGGGAGCAAGGCCCCAAATGAAAATAGCTTGAGGTGTGTGTGTGAAGAGGTTGAAGTAAGAGTTAATCAAAGCTTGATTTCTGAACCTGTCCTCTTAATCTCATCTATATTTGACAAGTATTAATAGAAACTTGGCTGTCTGTATACCTTGCATGGAAGTATTATGGAGATACTTGTGGAATAAGACAAAAAGATTCCATCTAATAGGATGAATAAAGGTTATTGTTACATTTCCAAAAATATATATTTCCATCTGTGTGTAGCAGACGTCATGAGGGTAGGCATATGTCAGATAAGAAAGATAAGACAATGAATTTTTAAAAGACAATTTCAGAAAAAAGTGAGAATTACAAAGAGAACAAAAGGAGGTTATGTTGGGGGAGATCATGGTGGGCTGCTAGCCTCTTTGAGGACATGACATATGAGCTGGAACCTGAATGATCACAAGTCAGATGACTAGTTGTGGGGGAATGGCATTGACAGCAGCTGGAACAACAAGTGCAAAGGTCCTGAGGCAGCTGAGTTTGTCTTGTTCAAGAAATTTGGGCATTCCTTACTGAAATAGAAAGCACACACTCAGCACTGGGGAAAAATGTTTCTACCCCTTCCATTATTCAGTCACTCTTTCAGCAGCCTTAAATTTGAGGGGCCCTGTGTTTGGGAGGGGGACAGCAGGCAGGTCCACAAGGTGAATCCTTCTATGAATCCAACTATGTATGACTCTCCACCTCAAATGAGATGAGAATGAAACTGATGTCCAGTCTAGAGAGTGTGTCATCATAACACATTGGGGTGTTGATTCCAGGTAACCAAGTGCATGTTTAAGACACAGGCACCCAGGCTGAGCCAGAAGTTACTTGCTCAGTATAATAACTCTGCAAATGACAACAACTATGTCTTCAGCCTTGCATTTCAGGAGCCATCCCCTACCTTGCCAAGCTCCCAGCAATAAATATGCCTTTCTCCTCAAAACTGGAAACTGAGGCCCAGCACTTAGGGCCAAGACTTCTCTGGAATCGCACTGCACAGAATCAGACCCTGGGCTGTCCTGGCTCTAAACCTATTAACAATGTCCACCCCCAGTTACTGAGCAGCTCCATGCTCATCAGGCCCTGCTTTAACTCCACCTTTGCATCACCATGGTCTCATTCTCATCACTGCTGAGATTTTTTCACCCCGCTATCTTTTATCCAAAGTTCCAAAATCCAAAAAGCTCTGGAAACTGACTGCCCCATGCCCACCACAGGTTTGGTACCAATCGTCTGTACAAGCTGACCTGATCTGATGAAAAACAATATTCAGTCCTTATTTATCCCACTTGTTGTGAACATTCAGTTTTTTTTTTTTTTTTTGAGGAAATAATTAACCCTAACCATCCCAGACCTCGCTGAGGGTGTTAAGTAATATATCATACAGGCATCGGGAAAACTTTCTAAAATCCAACATTTTCCGAATTCTGGAAACATACCTGGCCCTTAGACTTTCGGGTTTAACCATGGCCTCGGCTGGTTTTCAGCTAAGGAAACTGAGTCACTCCCTCCCAAAGCCAGATTCCCGCAGTTCTAAGTTGAGGCAACTCTGTTTTGAATTTTAAAAAGGCGAAGGGTATTGATATTCCCGCGCCCGCCCGGTACCTGGAGCTGCAAAGCACCTTGGGGATGGGGCGTCCTCAAGGCTTTGCGCCGGGCTGGGACAGTCCTTGGCGGGCGGGGCAAGGGGGCTTCCGGGGCGGCAGCCACCTGGCCCGGCCCCCTCCGGCCCCGCCCGCTTGGGCTCAGCGCGGTGATTCACTCCCTCCTTCGCCCCGGGGGCCCCCTTCCCGGCCAGACGGCGGGCAAGACGGCTGGGTGTGCAGCGTCCTCGAACCCGCGAGCCAGCGAGCCAGCGAGCCAGCAGATCCTCTGTACCCGCAGGAACTCCAACCCACGCCATGGCGGATTCCGAGCGTCTCTCGGCCCCCGGCTGCTGGGCCGCCTGCACCAGCTACTCGCGCACCCGCAAGGGAATCCTCCTGTTCGCCGAGATTGTGAGCGTCCCCGGGCAGGCGGGTGGGCAAAGGCGGGGTGGGGTGGCGCGACCACGCGGTACTGGACAGTCCGGGGTGAGGCAGGCACGTGGTCGGGGCGCTGGGCCTTGGGGCGCAGGTGGCTGGGTTCGTGGCTGGGAACTGGGGGTGCAGCGGGAGTTGGTGTGATTTGGGAGGGTGTTGGAGAGTTGGTGGAGCAAGGACGAAGCGGGGAGCCTGGGACGCACATGGGGGTTTTGGTGGGAGAAGCCCTCCAGGACTCAGTGGACTCATCAAAGGGGTCGTGGGGGCCTGAGAAGTGGGGTGCCTTCCGTGGCAGGGCGTGGCGCGGCCTGGACACTGGCGGGCGGGCTGGCAGTGTGCCGAGAGGCGGGGCCTGTTGGGGTGGGGCCCCGTGCACTAGTGTGGCGGGGTGGTGTGCCCCACCCTCCGCCAGTTCTTTCTTGCCCTTTTGGGACTGGGCGGAAGATCCTTAGCTCTTCAGGCGCCTGGGGAACCTTGGTTTCCCGCCCCTCAAAGTGGGCACCGCCTTTGAGTCACTTATGAGAGGGGTGCGGTACCTTTAACGGAGCCCTGCCCCTCCAGTGTCACTCTCACCGCTTCCCAAAGGGGTTGCTGGGGGAACCGCACGTTCCGCCTTCTTATGGGCTGGAAGCTGGCGCCAGCCTTGCTCGCAAAACACCTGGCAGAGCCACTCCCCTCAGGCAGCCGATATCCTAGAAGGGAAAGCAGGGGAACTGAGGCACCCAACTGTGCTCCTTACTTTATGAGTGACCCTGGGAAGCCACTTAACTTCTCTGACTCACTTTTCTCATCTGTAAAACAGAGATACTAATAGTATCTAGCTCATTAGGTGGTTGTGATGACTAAATGAATTAATATTTTTAACTGAGAACAATGCTTAGAGCCCAGCATGGTGGCTCAAGCCTGTAATCCCAGCGATTTGGGAGGCTGTGGCTGAAGGATCACAAGTTAGAGGCCAGCTTCAGCAATTTAGCAAGCCCCTGAGCAATTTAGCAAGACCCTGTCTCAAAATAAAAAGGGCGAGAGATGTAGTTCAGTGGTAAAGTACCTGTAGGTTCAATCTCTAGAAACCAACCAATCAACCAACCAACCAAACAAACAAACAAAAACCCACATTGCTCCAGGCACAGGGAACACACAGAAAGTGTTTAGCAATTATTGTGTGTCATTTTTTCCCAGACCTGGTAGGTATCTGCGAAGTGGATCTTTTTTTTTTTTTGGAGGGGGGAGGGTGTTGGGGATGTAACCCAGGGCCTTGTGCATGCAAGGTACTACCATTGAGGTATATTTCCAGCTCTGAGAAGTGGAATTAATTTATTTTTTCTGGTAGCCAATTTAAACTAGTTCCCTCAGCCTTCGGAACTAACTGGGACCCCTGTTCCCATGTCACCCTTCCAGGTATTGTGCCTGGTGATTCTGATTTGCTTCAGTGCCTCCACATCAGCGTACTCCTCTCTGTCTGTGATTGAGATGATCCTTGCTGCTGTCTTCTTTGTCATCTACATGTGTGGCCTGCACGCCAAGATACCATTCATCAACTGGCCCTGGAGTGTGAGAAGGGGTCAAAATGGCAAGCTGGGCAGGGGCCTGGGCAGTTGGGATTGTCTGGGGAACTCTGGATGCTGATTTCCCTCTTCTCCCTACACCTCACAGGATTTCTTCCGAACTCTCATAGCATCGATCCTCTACCTGATCACCTCCATTTTAGTCCTTGTTGACAACAGAAGCCAATCCAGAATTGCTGCAGGGGTAAGCCTGTGGAGGCACCTCTAGAGCATAGGGAAAAGGATTTGAAGATCCAGGGACCATCTGCTTCTGCTTTTGGCAAAAACTTATTCTCAGGGCCAACAGGAAAGTCTGGCCCCAGCCATGGTTTATCTCCAAAGATCATTTGCTATAAAGGGCTGCCCATTGTCAGACACAGGGCCTTTGTTGGAAGTATAAACATGCTAGATTGCCATCTGTTAGAACTTTGTCTCAAATGTAGGATGAAATATGCCCCCTACATTTGGCTGGCTGCCCTGTGTTGAGAGGTCCTGGGGTGGAGTGGGGTAGAATCCAGCCTCCTGGACTTTCTCTTTGGCTCTGGGGCTTCCAATCTAGATAGGAGTTACCATCCTGCATGGGGCAGTCCCTGGAGGTGGTGGATACCTGGAATTAGGAGTCTGAATGGGCCAACTACCTAATCCAACTCCCTCACTCTCATCTCCATCCCCAGGTACTGGGACTGATAGCTGTGTGCCTCTTTGGCTATGATGCCTACTTTACCTTCCCTCTTCGGCAACAAAGACATACAGCAGCCCCCACTGGTAAGTGTGTGTGTGTGTTGCTGAGAGAGCAAAGGAGAAAAAGGAAAGGTATCTCCCAAGGGAGGGTAATAATGCCCTTATGTCTCGTATCAGTAAGTGCCATAAGCTTCAACATTCCTGTTTGTAAAATGGGCATATGGATGGGGCTGGGGTTGTGGCTCAGAGGAAAAGTGCTCGTTTAGTATGCGTGAGGCACTGAGTTTGATCCTCAGTGCCACACAAAAATTAAATAAAGGTATTGTGTCCACCTACAACTAAAGAATAAATATTTTTTAAAAATAGGCACATGGATCTAGCCAATGTTTTCTCTCTTTTCCTCCTGCAGACCCCACAGATGGCCCGGTGTAGAACTCCCCTCATTTCTCTCTGCAGTTTGAAAATAACTTCTTTTGGAAAACACTTCTTCCCACTCCCACAACAATCCTCCCAGCCAACCAACTTCTAGCCCCCTGTTGAGGTAACAGTGCCTTTTCTGGGAGAATTTTGTCTTCCAGACTGCTACTCAATCATCCTGGGTATGGTCACCTTTATGGGTATGCCTAGGTCCCCCTCCCTTCTTCAGTATTCAGTTCTGCCTGGACCACACTCCCACCTAAACCACAAAGTGAGGGAAGTGGGTGCCTAGGATTTCAGAGTGTACACTCCACCCTGGTGACCCACTCCAAATAACCTCCTCATTTTGGGGGATGGTTCTGTGGAGAGAGAAATAAATAATAAACATTGTTAAAGTCTATGATAATGAATAAATTAATCCTCTGATCAAATGTGAACAAATCTCAAACATCCAGGTGGGTTGACCTGGAGTAAAGGAAGCAAAGAAGCCAGGCCTGTTTTACGACAAACATTAAATTATTTCAATAATACAAACAGAAGAAAGAGGGAGGAAGAAAGGGTATTTGACTTAGTTCAGGGTGGGCGGAATCATCTACGCTTATCAGAGAATAGAGCCCCCTCCAGAGCTGCCTAGGTCTTTAAGCCACGATGCAGTTCTTGTCTCGGGCCTGGCGAGGCATCCCTGTGCGAGAATCCCCATGGAGCTGTGGGGTCACAGAGCCTAAAGTCTCAGCTGCACTGTTGGGAGAGGTTGTGGGCCTGCGCAGGTGAGGGGGCAGTGGAATACGTTCCCCTAGGAAGAATCCATCATCCTCAGAGGATTCAGAACTGGGGCTGGAGGGTGAGCTGGAGCAAGATCCTGAGTCGGACCCTGATCCCAAGTCACAGCGATGGTAGCCACGTCGGCCCGTGTGGCGGTGGTGGTGGTGGTGGTTGTGATGGTGGTGGCGGCGGCGGCGACGGCTGGGGGCCCTAGGTGGGGGACTACGTGGCCTGCGGCGCTGGGCCGGAGGTGCACTCAGGGTCCTCCGCGGACCTCCCTCTGAGACCAGAGGCTCACGGAAACTAACACGAGGGGTGCTTTGGCGGCCAAAGGCACTATCGTCAGGACGCAGGTCTGGTTGCTCTGGAGACTCCAGGGGTTGCTCCGGAGCGTTGCGGAGCCCCAGCTCGGGCATGGAGTGGCGATGGGGGGCCCCTCTCGTAAAGGGGGAGGGCTCCTCGGCGCCTGTAGCTGGAAAAGAAGAGATGGGGGCTCCCTGTATCTGCAGCCCCTACCTGTGAGGAGGCTTGTGGAAAGGCCTTCTCCTTTTCCACCCAGTAAGACTAGGGAAGTGGGGACAGGGATCTGAAGCCTGGTGCAGATTGGGTGAAGGGAGGAAGAAAAAAATGCAGGAGGAACCAGGTACGATTGGTGTATGGGGCGTGGCCAAGGGTTGGGGAAGCTGCTGGGATGGGAGACGGGAGGCTTGGGATGGAGTAGATTGGATTTACCACGGAATAGGGGTGGGGCCTGAGTGCAGTGGGTGGAGGGTGACGGGTTGAAGGAAAGGAGGAACTTGGGCTCCAGCAGGAAGCAAGAGAAGCACCCTGTATAAAAGCAGGGTAAACCCAGGGTTCCCGAGGCAGGTGTAGCTGGGGCTGGAGACCAGCCTGGAATGGTGCGGCAAAGAAGGCTGGGTCAAACACTGGGCGGGGCCTGGGCAAGGGCTCAGGTTGAGGTGGGGGGCGGGGCTGTGACTGGGCGTGGCTCTCACCAGGCGCCGCCTCCGTGCAGGTGCCTTTGGTGGCCGTCTCAGAATTCACCTCCGCAGCAGGGAAAGAGGACGTGGAAGTTGCCAGCCGGGCGGCGACTGTGCCTCCGCCTCCGCTCCAGCTGCGGCGGCCGGGCCCTGGAGCGGTGGGCTCAGACCCAAGGCTACAGGCTCGGGAGCAGAAGATTAGGCCACGTCGGGGCAGGAAGGGGCGGCCCAATAGGGCTCTGCCACAGCGACTGCAGCAGAAGCAGCGGTCTGAAGCGTGCCAATGCTGACCCTCATAAGCCATCTGGCCCTGGTCCAGGCCTGTGGGGACCAAAGTCAGGGGTGGGGACTGAGGCAGAACCCCAGGCATACTCCCAGTCCTCATGAATGGGGCCTTAATTGGAAAAAAGTGGTGGATTGGAGGCAGTGCACCCTGATTTGCCGCCCCACTTCCTAAATGGGATCACTCTGGAGTGGGGTTTGGTCCACACCACACGGCTCCTCATCCTCCTGAGTCTCTCCTGGAGATTGGCAAATGTCTTACCTACCCACCTCCCTTTATTGCCCAGGGTGCCCCTCTGGGAGTGGGGTTGATCACTGGAGGACTCTTATGATGTGAGCCAGACAGACATTAAAGGGAGGTGACTTCAGGTGGGTGGGCCTCAAGAAGAGGCCTGGATGGCTGTGGCAGAGCTTAGAGGGGATAGTGTCACTAGAAGGTGGGACCAAATCTAGGCTGGTGGAGGAAAGTGGAAGAAAATGGGGCATAGCTCAGGGCAAGCAGAGGCTAGGCTTAGAGGGCTTTGTGCTGCTGGTGGGTGGAGACATGTCACAGTGGCCTAATGTGTAAGTAGGCCTTATGGCAAAGCTTGGGATATTGGGGATGGAGCTTGCAGTGAAAAGCACTAGACTGTGATGCTGGGACTGAGTTAAAGGACAGGGTGTAGTGGGGGCTAGGGCCTGGTGGCGTGGGGCTGTGGCCCAGCTATACATGCATCCCTCCATCGAGTCCCATTATTCACCCACCGATGTGCTCCCCACAGCCATCACAGTACTCCGCATGTCGGGCCTCATAGCAGGCACAGCAGTGGGGGCGGCTTTGCCGCATGACATAGCGCTGCCCTCCTAGTGAAGCTTCACACTCGAAGCAGCAGAAGTGACCCATATGCCAGTGCCGGCCCTCAGCTTCTGTGCACTCAGGGGAAAAAATGATCTGGAAGGTGCAGGCCATCTGTAGCTGTCAGAAGGTTCTGCCCTGACCCTTTCCACCCTCCACTCCCACCCCTGGGCAGAGAGGCACAAACCTCGTCACAGGCTTGGCAGCGTGGGCGCAGGCGTTCAGCATGGTGACGCCCACAGTAGACCTTGCCAGCATGATAGAAGTAGATGAGGTCAACAAGCAGCTCCCGGCATGTGGTGCACACAAAGCACTGTGGGTGCCAGCAGGCACCCAGGCCTGCACGGCTGGCAAACACCGCAATGTCCCCACCTCCAATCTGCTTCCCACACTGCCAAATGACAGACAGACACGGTCACCATCACTAAAATAGTCAGATGGATTGGGTCAGCCAGGTATGTCACACTTGGGCCTTTCCCATGGTCAAGTTTTATGACTGGCCCCACGTACAGGGTAACTTTTTTATTTTTTGGTACTGGGAATTAAACCCAGGGGTGCTTAACCACTGAGCCACATCTCTACCCTTTTTATTTTGAGACAGGGTCTTGCTAAGTTGCTCAGGGCCTCGATAAACTGCTGAGGCTGGCTTTGAACTTGCAATCCTCCTGCTACAGCCTCCTGAGCTGCTAGGATTATGGGTGTATGCCATTCTGCTTAGCAGTAATATTTTTAAATCAGTTACAGGGTAAATTGGAGACAGTTTTCACTTACGGGGGTGCCTTAGTGACTGACCCTGTTCATGGTCAGAAACCATAGAGACAGGCACTACATATTGAGGGTGGCCTTACAGGCAATCCTCCTGCATAGGGGGCTGGAGCAGACATAGAGACAGAACAGATCTAACCACCAGGACCTTATTGACAGACTTCAACCAACAGTAAGTTCTAAGGACAAGCTCCACCCACCAGAAAAGGCCTTAGAGATAATTCCACCCACCACTTGGCTTTGGACACAGGTCCTGCCACTGTGGGTCAGTTTCTTTGTGCTGGGGATTGAATCTTGAGCAGGCTAAACAGTGCTCTGCCACTGAGTCATACCTCCAGCTTCTGGGTCAGTTCTTAAGCACAAGTCCTGACCACTAGAGGACAAGAGAGATAGCCCACGGCCCATGTCCATTATTGCATGGAGGAAAGAAACCATGGAGAGAATACATCAAGGCCTCCTTAGAGAAAATCTATACCCAACAGTGGAATCCCAGGGACAGGTCCTATCTATCAGTGGGCTATAGAGACACATTTGGTCCAGTAGAGGGGGCCCTAGAGACAGTCTACTGGGGCTTGAGTGGCAGGCCTCAGCTTTGCAGGGCCTAATAGGTGGGCCCTGCACCCCAGGACCTTCAATCCAAGGCCCTTCATGATTTACCTCTTCACAGATGGCCCCAGTGATGGTCACTGGGAAGATGCGTACAGTTCCACGCCCCAGATTCTCTCGCTTCCGCTGCTGACTGAAGGCTCTCAGTTCTTTCTTCTCCTCCTCTTCCAGTGCTGTGCAGTACTGTGCCTGAGGGGAGCAGGGGTCTTCCAGACTTCATCCACACTCACAAGTTAACTTCTAGGACTTTCTATAGCTGGTGCCTCCTGCCTGAAATACCTACCCCTTCCCCCTTTTTCCAAAGCCAAGCTGTGGTTTTGCCAAGGAATGTTCCCTGATGGCCCCCTGCCTGTTCAGCCCTAAGCTCAGCTCAGTTTACCTTTTCTCCTTCAACCCTACCCATTTCCAACTGTCCTGCATTTGCCCAGGCTGTGCTCTCTACCCAGCATGCTCTTTCCGTCTTCTCTCTCACCTCACTATCGTGTGGGGGCAGCTGATGCAGCAACTGCTTGATCCTGTATCTCTCCCCAGGACTGTTGACATAGGGGACCTTATCTTCTGGGAGGCAGCTGAAAAACTGGTATACCTGGGAGGACATGGTGGGGGTGGGTAGGAGAAAATAATTGAGATTAAGGGTGGTAGGGATGCAATGAGATGGTGGGTCCCTGCCTCTCTAAAAAATTAAACTCATCAGGGGAACGTCTCTTGGTTCCTCCTTCTCCCTAAAGCTCCCAAATATGCTGAGAGTTCTCATGTCTTGACCCTACTTTCCCCTCCAGTTATGCTCCACTTTTCTCCTTTTTCTGTACAGCAAAATTCCTCAAAAGAGTTGTGAATGCTTATGTGCACTCCACTTCCTCTCCTCCCATTTTTCCCTTAACCCTGGTTGAGTCCCCAGCACTGCAATACACACACACACACACAACATATCCTGCTCGGTGCAGTAGCTCACATCTGTAGGCCCAGTAACTCAGGAGGTCGGGGCAGGAGGATTCCAAGTTTGAGACTCGCCTCAGCAATTTAGTGAGGCCCTAAGCAACTTAGTGAGACCCTTTCTCAAAATTGTAAAAAAGAAAAAAAATTAAAAGGACTGGAGATGTAGCTCAGGGGTAAAGAACCATAGGGTTCAATCCCTAGTACCAAAAAAACCAAATATATCTTTCCATGTGAAGTTTAGATTCCTGAAAAGAGAAATAGCCAATAAACAAACATGTAAACATATAGTCATCCTTTGGGATCTTTGGGGGATTGGTTTCAGGACCCCTCATGGATATCAAAATCAGCAGATGCTCAAGTTCCTTGTATAAGATGGTGCAGTGTTTGCATATAACCTATACACATCCACCCACACACTTTAAATCCTTTCTGCATTACTTGTAATGCCTGATACAATATAAATGCTATTTAAATAGTTGTATTGTTTACAGGCTAGGGGTATAAATCAATAGTAGAGCATTTGCCTAACAAGTCCAAGACCATAGGTTTAATCTCCAGCACCACAAAAAAGAAGTATTGTTTAGGAAAATAATGACAAGGAAAAAAGTCTGTATGTGTTTAGTACAAGTGCAATTTTTTTTTTCAAATCTTGATCTACAACTGGTTGAACCTGAAGATGTGGAACCTGCAGATATTGAAGGGAAAAACTATGTCAGATGGTATAAGGGATATGGAACAAAAAAACAGGGAAGGAGGCAGGTACAGGTTCAGGCCTGTAATCCCAATGACTTTGGAGGCCAAGAAAGGAGGATCTCAAGTACAAGGCCATCCTCAAGAGTTTATTGAGGCCATGTCTCAAAATAAAGAATAAGAAAGGCTAGGGATATAACTTAGTGGTAGAGAGCTCTGGGATTCAATCTCCAGTGCCAGAAAAAAATAGCAAGGAAGGGGAGCGGGCAGTGGAACTGTAATAAGGAACTCAGGTAGGCCTCTGTGAGAATTTAATGTCTAGCCGGGCATAGTGGTGCATGCCTGACATTCCAGCACCTAGGAAGGCCAAGGCAAAAGGGTTGCAAGTTATAGGCCAGCCTCAGCAACTTAGCAGGACCCTGTCTTAATATTTTAAAAAAAGGGGAGAATCAGGCTTGCTGGCACATGCCTATAATCCCAGCAATCCCATCAGCTTGGGAAGCTCTGATAGGAGGATTGCAAGTTTGAGGACAGTTTCAGCAACTTAGCAAGGCCCTAAGTGACTTAGTGAGACTCTGTCTCAAAATAAAAAATAAAAAGGGCTGGGGATGTGGTTCAGTGGTTAAAATGCTCCTGGGTTCAATCCCCAGTATGGAGGAGGAGGAGGAGGAGGAGGAGGAGGGTGGGGGGGAGAAGGAGAAGAATTGAATATTTGAGATGCTCCAAAGGATGTGAAGAAGTGAGTTAAGCAGATATGTGAATTAGAACAATCCAGGTAGAGAGAATAGTGTTAAGACCCAGAGGCAGGAGTGTACTTGGCAGGTATGTGTGAGAAAGTGAGCAAAGGGGACAGCAGTTGGAGGCGAGGCCAGAGAGGTAGCAGGGCCATGGAGAGGACTTTGACTGTAACTCTCAATGAAGGGTCAGTCACTAGAGGGTTGTGAGCAAGGAGGGACAGGATTTGTCTTAGGAGTTAACAGGATCTATGGCTGCTGTGACAGCCTGTAGGAATGAGGGAGGAAGCAGGGGGAAGAATGAGGAGGAAACAAGTGACTACTGCAACAACTGGTGACTGTGCTGATGATGGAAGTAGTGAGTCTAATTCTGGAGAATGAAAGTGTATATGTATATATATTTTTGTTTCCTCCAGAGCCTTGCACATGCTAGGCAAGCACTCTACCACTAAACCCCAATTCCGAATATATTTTGAAAGTAGAGCTGGTAGGACAAGAGGATTTGCTTGTGGGGGTCAAGATAAAGGAGTGAAAGATGACCTAAGAATATGTGGATGGGTTCAGTTGTGTGAAAACTGTCAACTGGGTGTGGTGGTACATGTTTGTAATCCCAGTGGCTTGGGAGGCTGAGGCAGGAGGATCATGAGTTCAAAACCAGCCTCAGCAACTTGGTGAGGTCCTAAGCAACTCAGCAAGACCCTGTCTCTAAATAAAATAGAAAAAAGGGCTGGGGATGTGGCTCAGTGGTTAAGTGCCCCTGGGTTCAATCCCCAGTACCCTAAATAAATAAATAAATAAATGAGGAAGTTGCAGATGGAAGAGCTTAAGTTTGTTTCTGGCCATCTGGAGCCTTGGGCATGCTGGGAAGTACTCTACCACTGAGCTACATACACCCTTAGCCCCTATTTTGTGTGTTTTCTTCACTGTGGTGTTCACAGTGCTTAGAACTGTGTCTGCAGTAGATGCTCAGTAATTATTTGTGGAATGAATCAGTCAATGATGATGTGGTGAATGAGATGCTTGGATAAGACCTGGGGTGGGGGGTGCAATAGGAGTGGGTGAACAAGTCCTGGGGAACTGATCCAGTGATCACTCAAGGGTCTCCATCAAGAGAGGTCAGAAGGACACTGGAAGTTTGACCACACACTCTAGCATTGCTCCAGAAATAGATTCCTATTTGAGTGTTATGTGTTTGTGTGTTTATGTGAGTGTATGTGCATGCCTGCATGTGTGTGCACCCACTGGAGAATGAGAGTGGGTGGCTGGCCTATGGTCACCTGCTCAGGTTTTAGGCCCGGGGGCACCCAGGCATACTCCTCTGATGCACAGCCTGAGTCATCATCCGAGATGGAGTGGCGCTGGAAGTCTGAGATTAGTCGACACATGATGCGTTCCAGGTCCACAGGTACTGCATGCACTGCGTGCTCCTCCCGTGGGCATTTGCAGTGCTGGCAGATCTTTCTGAGGGGGCCAAGATGGGTGGTCAGTTACCTAGGAGTAGCCTATCTAGACCCCCCTGAATCCCTTCACAGGCCAAATTCAATGAAAGAGCAGGACATGTAGATTACCACCAAAGGGCTGTGAGTTTAGAGCTATGGGCCTTGGGGCTGATAGGATGTGGGGCTAAGAGTCAGGGTCTGGTTATGAGCCTGTGGCCAAGGTCATAGGGAGTGGGGTGCTGGTTATGAGGGGCCCAGCTTCTGACTGATGGCAGGGTCATAAGATGCGGGCAAAGGGAACTGGAGCTGGGGCTGTGAACCTGTGTGCACACAGAATGCCAAGGGGCTGTATAGGGTCTTGAGAATATCGCCTAACCTTCCTGTTCTGGGACTTGGGTCAGACTCTCCGAGCAGTGAGCAAGCAGCTGGTCTGTGAGTGGTGGGACTCCAGAACTGAGAGTGGAATTCTGAATCTAGGAGCTTCCCTTCAGGAAAGGCTCCGTGTTTTGTGGGGGAACTCCCTCTCCCTTGAGGCAGGGCTCCAGCCCTGTGATGAGGCACTGAACTTGTGTGTGTTGGGGAGGTGGGCTATGAGCTCCAGTAGGAGGATAGGACGCTGGCCCTGGGAGAAAAATGGAGTCCTGGAGAAAGGGGTTGGGGAGTGCGTGGGCGATGCTCAGAGCCAGGGTCAGGCTTGGGGAAGCCTCTTGGGCGGGGGACTGTGTAGTAGGTGGAGCTCTCCTGGGAACAGGATTCTTTGTAATGAGTTAGGGGGCGGGGCTCTGAGCCTGAGATTGAGGCTCTTTTCCCTACAGAGATCTTTCTGTGGGCAGAGTTCAAGCCTAGGGACATGGTCTAAGCCTCCAGTAGTTTTCCCTGAGGGCAAGGCTCTGACAGAGTTGAAGTCCTGGAGAGGGTTCACTTACCTCCAGCCATGCAGCAGGAAACCGGGGCACTGCTCTCTACAGGAGTTGCAGGGCTGGCCCCGGTCTGGGTCCTCAGCCTCTGGAGGCTGTAGTAGGCCGAGGCAGACGCAGGGCCAGGCGAGGCGCCAAAGCAGAGAGGGAGAAGTCAACGCCTGCCTCTCCACTCCTAGGCCCACGACTGCACGCTGGGGCCTGTCCCACTAGGGCAGCGCTGGGCAGGCTGGGACAGCGCCTGGAGCGCGGGGGAGGAAGACAACCGAGCCAGAGGCGGGGCAACTGGGGCCACCTCCCATATGTTCATTTTTCAAGGAATTACTCTCCCTGTGCAGTCTTTGCCTCTCCCCCAGCCTTGGACACATCCCACCAGCCTCAGATCCCTTCAGACCTCCCCCAGAATCAGGGTATTCATCCCACCAGAACAGAGTCCCAAATCTGGGCATCCCCTCCTAGGCTTCATCCCAGCAGCTTCTCCACCAAGAAGACAGCAGCAGTCGGATTCCATAGGGTAGAAATCTGAGACCCCCATTCTTCCTTGGGATCCCCACATAAACCATGCCACTCCCTTCAGAAGCTCAAGAGCCTGCCCCCAAATCCTGCCTTCATTTCCTCATATCTAAGAAACTGGGGACTGTCCCCTAGGATCTCAGGAAGCCCCTGCTCCATCCAGAAACCCCCACCCCATGAAGCCTTGGCCTTTATTCCTCATGTTTACTAGGACTGTTCACTCCTTTGGATCACCAAACTTAGACCCCACCTTTCCTAGTCAAGAGACTTCCCTCCAAAGGAAAAGAAAGACCCTCCCATATGGGAAGTCAAAAGCTCCCCAGGCTCAGGTGGGAGCCTGGAAGCCCTTTTACCTCAAATCCCTGTTCCTCCACCCTAAGCATTGGGGCACCCCACAAGGGTGGGATCCCATCCCTCAGTCTATTTCCCTCCCCAGGGTGTGGAGGTCCCTGCTCATCCCAAGACCCCAAGACTCAGCCTTTTGACTCTAAGAATCCCCTCTCATAGTTCCCAGGAAAAGGGACACACCACGACATAGGGTTACTGATAAAGGTGTGCAGAGAGGTGATTTAGGAGCGTGGGTCACCAGATCTATATATTCCTTTATCCAACACCTCCAGCGGCCCCAGAGCCCAAGTCTGGGAGAGCTGGGGATAGGGATTCCCGGACTCTCTGTGGGGCTTCTCCAGGGTATCCCTGTGCCCTGCGCCCTCACCTGGGCCTCAGTTTACTCCTGACCCCCACCGCTGCCCTGATTGTCGCTCACCAAACGCCCGGAGCGGCGCCTCCGGGACCCACGCGCGAACATGGCGCGTCCGGACAGGGTCAAGCCGGGCCGGGTAGGGCGAATGGAATCCTCGCGGCCTCCAGGACACAGCGCGTCAGGCCTGGGAGCTCTGTTCCGTAAACCTGACACCGGCGTGGGAGGAGTGCGCCCCGTAGGGTCCGCCCCCGGCCCCATTGTCTCTCCGAGGCCAAAGCGCCCCCTGTCTGAAGGTGAGCTGTCCGCAGCCCGGTGGTGTCCTGCAGAAAAGCCCCCTGCCCTCTCGACCCCAGCCGAAGCAGGAGGCATAGCCTCTATAACTCCAACGTGCCACGTGGCCTCTAGGACTTAAGTCTTTAAGTAGTGGAGGAGGGAGGTTCTTGGAGGTGGCTACCTGACTGGAAGGAGTGGTGCACTAGGCTGCTTTTATGGACGCTTTGTGTAGACTTATCTTGGATGTTTATTTGGGCAGGGGGTTAAAGCCATCTCTTGGCCCCTTACCACTGGTGAGGATCCAAAGTTCTCTTTTCCTTAAAAGAATACTGCAAGATGGGCTGGGGGTGTGGCTCAGTGGTAGAGCACTTGCTTAACACGTGTGAGGCACTGGGTTTGATCCTCAGCACCACATAAAAATAAATATACTGTGTGTCCATCTGCAACTAAATAATAATAATAATAATAATAATAATAATAATAATAATAATAATAAT